CTAAGCACACTTACTTGGGCGATAACAGATGCCCATTCCAGCACTGCAACACTCTTTGCAGCTTGTCACCTTGGAAAACCACTTCAATACATACCATTTATATCCTGGCTAGGACGACAACAAAACACCCAGTGTAAGGACTACCTGAAGGTGTACTCACACAATACCTGGAGCAACACTGATGCAGAGTCTGCTCAGGAATACAGATCTGCAGCAAAGGTACTATTTTAAGCAGCTTTATTAAACACAGTCACTGAATACTGCAGTACAAGAGCTACCCGAGGCAGACACTCACAGATATTAATCAGATTTAATTTTGTAAATAAAAGCGTTAAACCATATTTGCATTTCTTCGTGCTGATAAAGTTTAATGGGGCCTGAGAAAAGTACATACACTTTAATGTAGCACTTCTTCCAGGCTGATATATCCTGCTTCTCAAAAGGGTAACATTAAAATGGCTGTGCTGGTTTTGGTACCCTGTCACTGCTGCACGCCACGCAGGCTTGGGCTGAGGTTTGCTTCTAGGTCTGCTCAGCATCCCTTTGTAGCTGGTTGACCACACACAGCTCTTCCCTCCCCAACCTCAGACCCTCTCTGCCCACCAGGCACCCTCAACTAGAATTTCCTGCAACTCTTGTCAGTAGCTCTGCATTGCCTTAAAGTCGTCTCAGACATCTGTAAAATGAAAAGAGATGGAAAATGTAAATAGCATCAGCCAGCATGACAGATGTCAAAATTACCAAAGGCAGGGAAAACATACCTTCAGTAGCACTTGCCAAGTTGAAACGAGGCAACTTCAAGCAGCGTTACAATCCATGGAATCCAACTGGCCAGAGAAAGCCATGCAATACACTGAAGTGTATCTTGAAGCGATTTAACTAATCTGCTAATATCAAACACACCTATGTATATGTAAAACCCTTCAATATGAATGAAAAACAAAAAACCCACAAGAGTGTATATCAGCTGCCTCATTAACAACCTCACTTTGAAGATCAATTTTAAGCTTCAGGGTAAATCAAAGCTTTTAGATCATCTCTCCATAAATTTTAATTTACACCTGTGAGGATACAGGTAGGCAAGGCTGGGGCAGTTTTGTTTTTTTTCCACAGAAGCCACTGACGGTGTATTAAGTAGATATAGAAGTGTGCATGTCTTCACATTAATCTCCCTCATAACACAAGGAAGACAGTCACTCTTCTCACCTGCTTTTTCAAGTTCCTGAATTCTAGCACTTATCTACAAAGGACACTCAAATGCAGCAGAGGCAGAAGAATACCAGCATACAAAAAGCAAAGCAATTTACACACATCCTTTTACATACTGTTCAAACCCAACTTACAATATGTTTATATGTGATATATGTTTGTATTTGGGATGCACAGTTCTTGCTTTCATAAGAGAATAAATTTTTAATGCATAAAATATCAGGTAAACAGCTATTAAATGAAATCAGACTTAAGTCTCTTTCATGCTTCAGTTAGAATTGATGTGGATAAAAACATTCAAGATTACAGATATTGAAAGACTTAGGCCATATTAAGAAAAACCCCAAACTCACAAGCACACACCTCCCCAAAAGGAAACTTCATTGAGGTTTAAAGGTATCCTGAAGTATCTATTTAATTTAATATTTTGTGAGTATTCTCTTTAATAATCATAGTAAGAAATAATACCAGATCCACTGCAGACTATCAAGTTCTGCCAGGCTGTATGCCAAACAGATGTAGCATGAATAATACAAACCACTAGATAGATGCGTGTATCTCGTCAGAGCTCAAAAGTCAAAACATCTGAAGGAATGTTGTTTTTTAAAATCTCTGGCACCAGCAAAAACCAGCACGTGCTGCTGTATAGCTAGCATTATTAGAGAATTACCAAGGTAACTTGACAAGAGTCCCCCAACCAAATGATGTTTTTCCGACTATCAGACCCACAGAAATAACACCTTTTGAAGATAGATGCATCAGAACTACTTTCCCTCTGTTTTTCTTTGTCAGGTTGAAATAAAAAACTGAGGGAACTGAATTGAATTCAGGGGAAAAAGAGAGACTAAACTTTGTGTTGATACACATCTAAACAGCAAGACAGCAAAGAAGGAAGCAAAAGCTGAAATGAGGTGGTCGAGATATTCATCTGTGTATTGAGTTACCACAGAACACCAGGTACTTCACATTCAGGGCTTTTCCTACCTCAAAAGCTACAACATGAGGAAAATACAGCAAAGTCCAGGTTATCCGATTCATCCAACCGTAGGTTTTACCATAGGCAGAACTCCAATTATGCCCTCTATTTGGGCTCCAAATGGGAATGTGAAGATAAACATCATTACCGTTGTAGAATTAGGAGGAAGTAAACGACGTAGAAAGATGCACCAAAAGGGAAAAGTCAATGTTTGGAAACAGTGGTAAGGGTGCATGAGGCAGAGAAAGATATCAGCTGGAACAAGAACTGGAGTTGATGGAAATAAGCTCTCATACTTGAACGCTTGGTATCTGCAAAGGTAATCATCTCCTCTTGGTGTGTGTGGACATGTACATCCACGTAAACACTTTTTCTTCTTTCAAAGCTAATGCTGATGCAAACAGATTAGAGTAGCCAGAGAGTGCTTCTGCTGACTGATAAAACGCTTTCATCAGCTAGATCAGCGGGTCTTAAAAAGAACCGGCAAAAAACTGTAAAAACTATAAGCAATTACAAATGAAATGCAGCACTCAGCTTCAGAACACATCAGTCATCCCAGAAGGCACTGTCCCTCCAAAACAGGCATCTGCTTCAGTATTTTCATATACAGTTCCCAGAAGAAGCACTTGGCTCATGCAACGATAAACCAACCTTATGATTTAAAATACACCAACCCTCCCAACCTTTGTCATGGCAAGTGCTACACAAGTCTTATATATCCTGAGAAGCTGCGCATCAACTTTGCTGACTCTGGTTAACCTGTTAACTGAGAATGCTCTAAACAGTGTGAAGCATAGCCAGGTGTTTGATTAGACAATCAAATACATGATTTTATAAACTTGATAAGTAACAGGCAAAATTTAACAAAGAATTGTTCCAAGTCAGATAACTCTTCAAAAGGAAAACCGGGAGCCCGTTAAAATCCCCACATCAGAGAAGAAAACCACTAAGTTTGTTTGGTTTTGTTTTCCAAATATGGTTGTCTATACTAACAGCAAAATACATTCTTATGAAATTGTGCCCTACTAAGTCATTGGGAGTTCTGCCATCATCTTCAATAGGGCCAGGCTTTTATCCTTGTTCACAGCAAGCTAGAAGGATTTGTGCTTGTTAAAGGACCAATGTGCAACCTCAGAGATGCTCCAAGGCAAGGGACTACTTATATGTAAATACTCCAATGGGCACAAGTGGAAGTTGGGTTGGGAGGCAGATCAGAACCACCAGCTAGCTTGGAATTTTGGTTCTTTGCCCAGAACATCACTTTCTAAAAATAAAAACAAAATTCCCTTCTTTCAGTCAGGGAAGGCAGAAAGACAGAACAGAGGAGCTATACAAATTTGGCAGGCCTGGATTTACAGAGCTCCTTTTGTAAAGGATGTGTTCGAAGAGATAAGAGG